GTCGACAGCCTGTGAGAGTGCTATGTTTTCTCTGCCACCCTTCTCTAGTAATTAATTTGACATAAAAAGAAGTTGCAAGCTATCAGAAAAGAAACCAGTGTATATATGTGGGTCTCCAAAATACTTCATTAACATCAATATTCCATTTAGTTAACCATTTTAAATTTCCTATAGATTATTAACCTTGTTAGCTATTCATCTAGTTTTTTTCATAAGTGAAATAGTGTCATTCAAGATAACTGTGACCTTAATAATGTTTAAGTGCTCAGGCCCAATGGTCATAGAAACCGAGGCTTACATGTCCCACTAGCTAGGTGCTGTCAAATTCCTCATCTCTAAAGTAGACATCATTCTAATATTTCTTGAGTTTCTGATTAAATGAGAGTCCATATGGGCCATGTCTAGCAAGAGTAAGCACTCAAATATTAGCAGTTGTTATTTATTGGTAATAAACTCTCTAACCATAAAAATATTTCTTTCTATGTGTTTGCCAAGAAGCCTAAGTTAGCCTCTGGCTATAGCAGTTGCACATTATTCCAAGCATGGCTCATATTTTTTCCCTGGAGGAACAGTTAAGAAAATAACTGATAATAACGCAGAAACCTTTAGAGTTGTCCAGAGAAGGCGGAAAGCTTTATTCCTCGTTGCTTCAGATAGAATTAGTAATGAGTGCGATTTCCTAGGAAGTAGGTTTAGATTCTGCACATGTGATATTTTTCAGTCCTTATTCCTCAGCACAGATTGGGTAACGTGCAAACTTTCAAGCATAATTCCTACAAAGACCTGCCAAAACATCAGAAAAGGGAGGTAAAATACTCTCTCCTCATTAGTGCTACTTTACAAATCTACTTTTTATCTATTTGGTAAATGCCTTAACATCACAATTGATGATTAATTTACTCAAACTCTTGTTAAAACATTATTGTAAATTGGCTTTAACTTTGCTGATTGAAAGATCATTTTTCACAGGGTTTTGAGTCCCTAGATAGGCTCTACATTACCTTATAGAGATTAAAGGAATGTATACATTATCCTTATTTAATTCCCTCAAAAATGAAATGAGCTGAAAACGTTTTTTTAAGTATGTTGATTTCATCATAATTTTAGTGCCTTTCGTATAGAATTCCAGATTATTACGTAAGCTTCTATCTCAAAATACGAAAAGCAGTTAAGGAATTCTGTGATAGTATTTGCACTGAACCTGAGAAATTTTTTTCATTATTCTTGAACATGGTTGTCAGATTGTCAGCCCCTGCTGTACCGTCTCCACCCTATTTTTACCCAGCTATCTGAGCACAGAAATGCCAGCTTCCTTTTGCCTTCCTGTGACACTCTGTTTAAAGAGAATAATGAATGAAATGGATGTTTGAACTGTCCTGCGGTTGTTAATTACTTTTTAAGATGTTTCACAACAGGAATGTATGTGGCATGCTCTCGATAGTTTAGAACATCAAAATCTTCAAGGACATAAGTTTCTCAGTATTTGTTTAAAATGACTGAGAAAAGGGTACAAGAGCGGATCTATGCGAAAAGGCTAATATAGAATAAGGGCACGATTGTGGCTAAAGCTTTGTAGATTCAGGATCTAAAAAATGAGAACAGCCTTTTAAGGGGGCATATTAGGGCTAGGTTTGCGACCCTGGTGACATAAATTGGTGACAAAATTCCAGAAATATGCTTGGGTTTCTATATGTGAGGCACAATCCTACAATCATTCAATACCAGCGGACCTGCAGAAAGGGAGAAGGGGCCCAGAGGATTTCCATGTCCTCGATAATTAAATTAGAAGGATTCAAATTTTATGTACTATGCTATGGAAATCAGTTTGTATCATATTTTCTGCCTCACTGAAATTAAAAAGTGTGGTTCCTCTGGATTCAAATATTATTTTGAACTCATAAAAGAGTCCCATTCCAACCTGTACATTATGAATGTCATTAACAAGTGAAGAGACTATAATTAGGCAAAGATACAACTTAATTATTGTTTTAGTTGCAAGTGGACAAAATTTGCTTTTATCTTGAACTGATTCGTGACAGACGGTGATGTCCCTTGCAAGACTCCCAGACTAAAGATACAACAGAGGAAGGAGGGAAAGTAGAAGAGAAATCAAGGAAGATAAAAAGGAGGTTCAAGGACATAAAGGAGGGGAAGGGACAAATAGAAAAACATGGGAGGAAAGAATTGCCACAAGATAGAGTATAGACACACCATCAATAACTGCAGAGTAGCGGGTTCTGTAATTTTGCATTTCACAGTGCACAACTACATAAAGAAAGAGGGTGTCTCTGAGGAGAATTAACGACTTTCCCAGGTAAGTACATTAGATCCTTTGATGTGCCCTCAATAGCTGAGAGAATTAATGCCTTCAAGGACATGAGGTTCTCAGTGGTTTTTTATAATGGTTGAGGAAGGTAGTAAGAAGTGTTTAATTCTCCAAAATGGTCTTTATGCAAAACGGCTAAAATGGAATGAGAGACTCATACTGTGGGATTTTTGTGTAGAGAGACAGACATTGGACACTGAGGCCTTTTTCCCCAGAAGCAGCTTTGCTCCCGCCAGCACTGACTCAGTGGAGTCGTACCCGAAGGCTGACTGTAAACATGGTGTAGTTGCACCCTTTTATATCATCTTTGTGTCTTTGCCTCCCTTATGTGGGCATCTCCTAACATTTTACAGTCTGGTTGGGTATGATTTGTATTACAGAGTTATGTCAGGACTACACCTGCACACACGGAGGCTGATATTGCTACATTGTAAGAAGTTCCCGCCCCCACACATTGGGAGGGGCCCTACTGCAATTATATTTCAGTGATATGTGCATCCCCAAATTTATAGCAGCTAAATCTTGTAAGTGGCCCGTATGTCTATACTTGGCGAATGGATAAATAAAATGTGGTATTTGTACACAATGGAGTACTACTTCCCCATAAAGGATAAATCTGAGTTGTTTGCAGGAACATGGATGCACCTTGAGACCATGTTAAGTGAAATGAACCAGGCATGAACTTAATTAAATATCACACGGATTCTTTTATGTGGGAAACCCAAAGTATAAGTAAATTGAAGAGAAAAACAAAAAAGATGGTAGGAAACAGGGAGGTAGATCTTTTGGAAATGGGAAGGGACCAAGATGTAGAGGGAGGGGGAGGAGAAAAGGGAAAGGGAAGTAAGAAGAATGAAGATGTATTATATACATGCACCAGCTCCCCATGAGGAATGCAATCATTATGTGCTACACACACATACAAACAAAGTATGTACACTCTAATCTACTTAGTTTTTGGTTCTTTCTTCCTTGCACATTTTCATTTTGCCTGAACTAGTGAACAGTTCATCATTGGTTAGCGCTGGTATGGGCACGAGAGCCACTCGTCTGATATTGCTAATTTTACCATTAAAACGTGGTAGCATCTAAATGGACACTTTGAATTCACTTAACCCTTCTCCAGTCAGTATTCACGGAAGGCCGGCAGGTGGGAAGATTAAGTCAGAGAGGAGGGCAGGGGAAGGAGGACAAGGTGACCTCAGGGAACAGTGAATGACGTGACAGGAGGGGAAGCCCTATTCAGGTGAGGCAGAAAGGCAGATGGTCCTGGGTCATTTTGGAAGTTTAAGCTCTTGGCAATGAGGAGCCAGTGTGGATTTTTAATCAAGGAAAGAGATCATTAAGGTAGCAGGGAGTGGAATATCAGTGTGTAAGATAGTTCAGAGGAGGGACAGGAGCAGAGCTAAAAGTGCTGCTGTAAGACAAGTCAGCACCTAATTACAGGGCTCTGAGTGGCTGAAGCAATGGGAGTAGAAAGGAAGTGGAGGTGGAGAGAATGCATGCAGAGAGAGACATAATAATCTCTCTCTTTTTAAAGAGTAGGAACAATTTATTGAGAGACAGAAGGGGGACCAGAAAGTGGGTTGCCCCCCACAATAATCTCTTTTTAAGGAAGACTTCTGTAATGAGGGTTCACTGCAGATGTAACAGGATTTTTTTCCTCATAGTTTCAAGTAATGAAGAGAATAAACAGTGTTTGGAGAATGATGAACTCAAAAGCCTGATTAGGAGGAATTTCAGGTAGGTAGACTAATTCAGTAGAACATAAAGAACTTCTGATTCCTAAGGATGTCAAAGAGAATGGAACTTTTAGAGGAGAAAGAATCTAGAAACAACTTGTATTTTTCCGAAATTTTGAGCTTGTTGCTTAAGACAGAATGTTATTGAAAAAGAATAGTTCAGATCCAGCTTCTGGCACTTAGTAATTGTGTTATAGTAGCCGCAACACTTTCCTTGTCCTTAGCTTTGTTTTCTTTACATTGTTGATGACAGCTATCTGTGTGTATGTGTTTATACACACCAGCATGCAAGTGCAAATACACACAAGGCTGACACATAGTAGATAGCAAGCAAATGGTGGATGATACTTTTATTCTCAGGAAAAAGTTAACAGAGAATTGGTAGATGTGTCTTTCTGGTACCGAAGAATTTTTCAGTAAAACAAGTGATAGACTTGGCGGTGGCTCCTAAGTAAAAGCAGAGATTCTGGAGCACACAGTAATTTTAAGGAGCGTTTATAAGCAGCTGCAGAGCCCTTCTTGTGGGCCATATGGCCCAGGGTTGTCACAGCTGCTTGATTTTTGCTGTGGTTCACATAACCCCATGCATGAAGAGGTTAACAAACGCCCTTACTCATGTTACATGAAGTAGCAGAAATTATCAGATGGAAACAGAAATTGGGAAGGGGGAAATGGCGCTACAGTAACCCACTGTTTCCTAACCAACACGCTGGTGCTTACACTGCTGAGTTAAGTGTGCAGTTCAGCAGTTTAAGCAGATCAGAATAATCCCGGGTAGGGGCAACCGGACCTGACCGCCCTGAGCTGAAGCCACTCAGGCTGTAGTTGCCCTGGTCGGAACAATGCTGTGAGTCACAGCTTGCAGCAGAAGAGCCAGGAAGCCCAGGCTGGGAGACCCGCCCTCTGAGCAGCCGCCCTGGCCAGGGAGGAGCTGGCCCATGCTAATGAGCAAGTTGCCTGCCAGAGAGGGGAACTTCATTCCCCTCCGTGTCAGGATCACAGAAATTATGCCCCTTCTCTCACCATGAGTTGGCTCTCCAGTTCCCAGGGAGTTGTGCTAACTGCCTATCACCCCAGCGGCAAGGACCAGGCCGTGGGGGGCAGCCATGCAAAGCCCGGTGAGGAGCCCGCCTCCTCCTCGAGGTAAGCCAGCAAACAAAACCAAGTCTCCTACCTGCTACTGGGAGAGAGAGTGCCGGGGAAGCTGGGTGGGGAGCGGGAATGACCGCCACTCCCGGGCCCTGGCCTCCCACAGCAGCAGCAGCCATGCTAGGTGTAGTTTTCCTGTACTTTTCATCTGCTCCGGCCCCAGACTGAGCCCCCAGAAAGCAGGCGTAGGAGCTGGGGTACAGCGTCATGGCTCTCAGCAGGTGCATTTGCGAGCGCTGGAAAGATCAGATGACCATATTTGAAAGACTTCCTATGAGACGGAATTCTTGAATGGGCTCGAGACTCAGCAACTGGAACTGCTCACTGCAAAAGTCTGCCAAAAAGCAGGCGGCTGTTCACCATGCAAGCTGCTGATGTTGGTTTTTGTTTTTGTTTTTGTTTTTGTTTTTCCTCCTTGCTGAAAGCAAACCTCTTAGGCAAAATGCTCAAGTCACTGACTGGCCTGTGGCAGTATGTTTCCCATTCTTTAGTATAGATGTGCTCTTTCGCCTTCCCAGGGCAGCATTCAGAAAGGAGTACTGGTTAGGAGATAAAGCTCGGCTGCTGGAGTGAAACGTGGTTAATGTTAAATCACTTTATAGGCAGAGAGGGCAAATGTGCTATAGACCACTGAGGCGCAAAGGGTACCTTTCTCCCTGTGTACTTTGTTCTGTTTTCCAAGGGATTTATTTTTTTTCCTTTCTCCCCTTAGTGACCTTCTCACTAGCTGAATATTTTAACCTCTAGTCTTAGATATAAATTGCAAATATTGGCCTGGAAGATTGCAAAAAGCAAATGCTAACAAATAGACTGGGATACTAAATTAGTTATCAGGCAGTTCATTTCCTCCTTGATGCTTAAAGTGATACTAAAGTCTTTGTTCTTGTGTGACTTATGTCTATGTCCTAAGCTGAAAGAATGCCTTCTTTCATTTGTTGTAAAGTCCCCAAATACAGAGGAGGTGGGAAAATGAAAGAAGTGACTAACACCCCAAGTTGGACCTAGGCTGATAGAACTCTTTCTCACGTGGTAGCCACAGTATGTATGCATCGAATTAATTCATTGCCAGAGATGAAAGGGAATCACTGCATGTGCTTTAGATATGTCACCATATTATTTTTGTTGTTTGAAGTATTTTCTGCGAAAATCATAAATCATTTCCATGCATTTTTTGGTACAGCAGTAATGTATTAGTAATCTTTCAGCTGTGAGCAGCCTGCAGCACCAACCCTGAGCCAGCCGTAACTTGGCTTTACATGCCAGGCAAAATTGCCAGAGTTGTACAAGCTCGGCGTGTTCTCCAGTGACTTTACCCTGGGGCAGCCAGAGGCTCTGAGCTGCAGCTTGGATGGTGAGAGTGGAGAGAACCACAGAGACCCTGGGTCTCAGAACCCAGGAATTCCTTAGCTTCTCCCAAGGTCTGTGGTTCTAGGATTTGCCTGGGGCTGCATAGCCAGTTCCCTCCACCATTTTCCCTGTGTCTGCAGTTTGGAAGCTGCTTGTGGGTTGAGCAAACCAAAGAGGGAAAGGCATTATACTCAACTATTGCTGAAGCAGAACCAAGAGGCACTGCGGGGGCATCATGGGCAGCTGCCCAGGCTGGGAGCCTCACATCTGCTCCTAAAGGCTCCCTGGCTGGCTGCCATATTGCTTGCCCATATTGGCCCCAAGTACTTACTTTTGCATTGGAGTCCTAGGGATTGGTGTTACTTGGGTTGGAGTAGACAGGAGCCTACTTTGAGGGCTGAGAGGAAAGGCAGGAAGGAAGGAGGGACAGACCTTACTAGCTTTATCATTAAGCCTGGAATATCAGATAAGCATAAAGAAACTGTGGGAGGTACCTTGTTTGTCCTGAAAGGGTTGAGACACTGGAATTGGCATGGGGTGGAGATGCATGGAAGGAGGAGGGATTTGGGGGTGGGGTGAGAGCACTCTGGACCTCCTAAGAATGGTGATGATGGGGGATATGACTGACTTGGGCAGCTGTGTTGGTTCAAGTATTAGAAGGTGCTCCAAGGGGCGAGGTTGGAGGTTGATGCCTATTTTACAAAGCTCTCTAAGAAGTAACATTAGAAGAAAATACTTAAGAGGATAAATTAGACTCTGCCTTTCTTATTGCCTATTTAAAAGTTGCCAGAGGTAACTCTAAATCTGACTTTTCTTATCACAAGATTTTATCTCCTCTGAAGAATATGAACCATTTAATTGAACATTTGCTCTTTGATGAACTATTTAATCAGATATTTAGTTCAGTAAGATAAGCTCATGTATACATAATGCCATTTAATAAGTATAAAAAGTTACATATGTGAATTAAGTTATTTATAGAAAATGTTTGATTTTTAGCCTTGCCTTGTAAAGTCCTTTTTCATTGTTCTGCCCTTTTGAAAAACTAGGAGAGCAGATCATTAATATTTTATAAATAATCTAACATTTCCTTCATTCCATTGTCCTTTATCAGAAGATGTTCATTGAATGCCAGGTTGAAGGAATTCCTCCCACTGCTGGTTAGGGCCTCTCAAATATTTGTAGAATCTTGTTTTCATTCTTGTTAAACAGAAAATAAAATGTGTTCTCAAAACATCAGGATTTGAGGAAATATGTTAACATTAGTTCTGGCTGAGTTGTCCACAGCTGAATATTCCCAGAGGAAACCACTTTTTTTTTATGAGCAGCTATATTTATAAGACTTTATTTACTTGTTTTCCAAGCTGACTTCTTAATATTTACTTTTAAAAAGTAGTTTTTCAAGGAGTACTGCATTTTGCCTATTTTTACTGTTCTCTTGACTTTACCATCATGTAAGAAAAAATATTCTAATTGCTGTTATTTGTATTAATATGTTAATATTATGTCAAGTGATGTTTTCATTCTTACTGGAACTTTTAACTCTGTACCTGAATAAGTTGGAGAATGACATATTTGTAATTCTTCTTTGAACAAATAGGTGGCATTCATCGCAGGAAGTCTTTTTTGACCCCACTTGCCACTGGGCAGGTTGGACAAGAGGGGCTGGACCACAGTGACATCCCAGTTCCCTCTCATTCTGTAGTAGTGTGAGCCTGGGCATTAAGTCTCTGCTGTAAAATGAACTTTACAGTAGTACTCACCTCACTGGGAGGAGGGAGTGGGATGATCCACGTAGAGCTGGTGGAACCGTGCCTGATACTCTCCTTAACACTAGGTGAAGAAGGAGAAAGAAATTCTCCCTTGGTTCAAAAGCATTTTTGTAAATATCATTTTGCCGCATGTTAAAACATATGAAAATGATCCATGTGCTTAACTAAGAATGACATATTTGAAAATGAAATTGGCCAAAGGTGAGGCCTCTGGAGTCTGAAAGACCTTGGAAATGTTCTTTTGATACACAGCGATGGTTATGCTTAGAACTGGGGAGAGCTGCCAGAGGAAGGGTTACCATGGGGCGGCCACTGTTTTGCTTGGAACGAGGGGGACCCAAATAGAGGTCTGCACACCCCGACTCTTAGAGCAACATTGAGGGTGGGTGGATCCTTCTTTGGCAGCTGCTCTTCTCCACATTTCCTTCCTCTACCTTCAAGGACCACTTCCCCGGGGCACACGTTTATTTCAGGTTCAGAGTTTTTCAAGTCTGGACCATTCCTTTGTTCTATAAGCATAGCCATTCAGGCCCTCAGTCATTCCATGTGATCTTCAAGGTCTTGCTGAGGACAGGCAGTTGTCTGGAGCTGGCATCATATTGGGGAACAAAATGGCCACCTGTGTAGGGGGAGAGTAGAAGACAGACCTGAGCAGGTGAGAGTGACAAGCCCTGCAGACACCTGGGAGCAAGAACTTTCAAGGCGGAGGCGGGTAGAGAGCATAGGAGCCATAAGCTTAGAGGAGGCCACAGAGCAAAATCCCCACAGGAGCCCCAGTCCTGTATGGCTGGAGGGGAGGGAGAGGAAAGCAGTGTTCGCTGCTGACCTCCACAGAGCATTTGGGGAATTAGGTTTGTGCTTAAGGTTAGGTGCTAAGGCACTGAAGGGCAAGGTTTTGAGTGCAGGGAGAGTGGAGCAGATTTCCATTCTGAAAGCTCCCTGTGGCTGTGGTGTTGACTATAGAACCACAGAAACAGCAACAACTCTGGCAGGTGAAGGTGACGGTGCCCCAGGCCAAGGGCTGGGTCCCAGGAGGGGAGGGAGGGAGCAGTGAAGGTCATGTCCCTGTCTGCAGGATTTCCAGAGGATTACTGACTGTGAGGACATGAACATCAGAAGCATTGCAAGGCTTTAGCTGAGAAATTTAGAAGGACAGAGTTGCCACGAACTTAGGGAAGACGTCCAGCGTGTAAAACAGGGTGTGCTGACCAAGACCTGAAGCTCGGTTCTGGGTGTGCATGTTGGAAACAGGTGTTTGATAGGAGCATGAGGAGGAGGAGGACGCGGTTGTCTTTTTTGATAAGGTCAGCATCTTTATGGGATTCTCATCGCGTTTGAAACACCTAAGTTAGTAAAGTTCCTTCAGAATTTGGGTGCCGCCTGGTCCCAGTGTAGTGAAGGAAGGGAAGCTTGGTAATGGGTTCTTATGCTGAAGTTAATCAATGCATGCTTCCTCACTTTAATTTTATAGGGTTTCGTGACAATGCCTTTCTTTTTTTTTTACCTGTCCATCTAGACTGTTTGCTATGTCTATCCAGTCCTCAATTTCATGGCAAATGGGTGTCTTTTAAAGACTCATTTTCTCACCCTGCAGGGTAGAGGTCCTGTCCCTCATTTCCTCTTGCATTGCTAGGAGAGGCACCAGGCTCCTGAGTAGGCAGTTCTTGCCCTCATTTGGGAATGAGGTATTTGCCTTTCAACTGAGGTCATGAGGGAGGCCTTTGAGTTTTGTGTACCTATTTGAATTGTTGTAGGATTTGCTAGACTCATGCCTTTCAAATATAAGGATTTAGAAATCACAAAACACCCCCCCCACACACACACGCACATACACTCACAAAACAAAAACACTTTCTGAAAATTTCCCTTCCACAG